TGGTAGCACTATATTAGCGTATTCGGTGAAACTGTTAAGGACCTTCTCTTATCTTTATCTGAAAATACTAATTTGAAACATGACTAAATGAAACAAATTTGATTCAAATTATTTTTCTGAAGAAGCGTTCCGAAAAATAATTTTAGGAGAAAAAAAAATAGAAGTTCAAAACCTTCAGAGCACTAGAATAAGAATAGTAGGATTTCAAGTATTTTGCAGCTTATACTCTCTGATAGGAAAAATCTCGAGCAGTAGTTTTTTCATGTTCTTTTTCTCGCAAAATTGGCGTTTTTAACCGGGATCTATTACAGAAAGTGGTTTCTGATAGCCTATTGGAAAAGTACAACTAATTTTAAAAAGTGTGAAGAAATGAAACACCTGACATGACTGGTCATATTTTGTCCCACTTCTAAGACAGGTGTCTGCTCACCTGTCACTTGATTAGAGAGTATCTGGTAATGAATTCCAGTTCAAAAAATGGTCACTCTTAAAGAGAAAAACCGCTATTTAAAGGAATTGAAAAGGAAGTAAAACAAAAAAGTGAAGCTCAGAAAGTTATAACTGGAACAACGTTCAATGAAACTATACGTTTTTAATGTTGCGGACGGATGACCATGAATGCAAATAAAGGAAACAAAAAAACTACTGAAAGTGACCACTACTATGTTGTATGACATTTTGTGGTCAATTCGTATAGTAATAAAAATTGGGTTAAGTATCAAATATAGAATGTCTCGTTTTTTTATGTGTTGGCAGTCTTGATGATGGTGATATGAAACAACAACTACAACTCACTTGAGGATGAAACTTCGCTTGAAGCAAAGCGCAGCTTCTGTTTCCGACTACCGCCCGATTTGCTCATCTGTAAGAAATCTTGTTTGACAAAACAACACTGGGTAGATAAAAAAGAAAGAAAAAAGTAACAAAGAAAAAGACATCAACTTTAGAAAGTGCAAAATCCATAAGGAACGAAAAGTTGGACCCACGTTCATCTCGATTTCTAAATAATTCAAAAGGCGAGAAACGGAAAACAATAGAAAAAAGGCAAAGGATGCGTCTAGTTGAAAAATCTCAAATAAGAATTGTATCGAATTGCAAAAAGAAGGATGAAAAGTCGTGTTGTGTTTCTTTCCAGCCTAACCCTTCACTTGTTTAGGGGTTCAAAACTAAGGTTGGGACACATGCCTGACCAAAACAACTCTACAAACTGTCAGAAGAAAGAAAAATGTTCGCGAAGCGAATTTACAAAAAAAAGTTTTGAGGGATTGTGTTTTGTGAATAGAGATGTGCTTCTGGAGTGTGACTAATTCGAATGTGATCGTGTCCTTGTTTTTTTTTCAGAGAGTTGCAAGTAAAGGAACGTTCGAGAAGTTCTTCAACTTTCAAATTCAAATTTATTACCGCAATTTCAAAAACCTTGTGAAAACCTAAATTCGAATTTTTTACAGAGAGTAGGGATGGAACGACATTTGGGATGCAAAAAAATCCGCACATTTTAAGTAGAAAATTCAGATCGGAATATTTTTTATTTTTCGGAATAAAAGTCTTCGGGACTACGATAGATCAAAGACGCAGGCAAAGTTTCTTTGCGGATCTGAAGCAAAATTATTTTTAGTATTTTTTGCGTTTTCAAAATCTGTTTGCTAAATATTTGTCAATTTTTAGAACTTTTGTGATGGGAAAGTGGGATTTCGAAACTCCGACATTTAAAATATCGGAATGTTCCGAAATGTCAAATGAAGAACCCCTCTAATTGAAATACCCCCTAGAGACCTCACGAAAAATAGAAGTGCTCCCTCTAATTGAAGGGCCCCTCTATTTGAAGTACCCCCTCTAATTGAATTTTGCGTTTCTAGTCAATGTGTCCAAAGATGGAAGTTTTATGAAGTCAAATTGAAAAAAAAAACCAACTGAAGAAATTGATTTTCTGTTGTTGTTTTTTGTTTTCATCAAAATAAAGGTGTTTTTTTTTTGATATAAAAGAATTTTTAAGGATTTTAAGAAGAAAAAACAACATTTTCCCCCGAAAAACGTTGTTCTTCTAATAGAAATTCCCTGCTCAGGAACCTCACGAAAATAACAAGTGCCCCCTCTAATTAAAGGGCCCCTTTAATTTAAGTGCCCCCCCCCCCCGCGACCCCACGAAAAATAGAGGGGCCAGCTCATCTAATACAGGTTTTACGGTAATATTGATTTTACAGGTGGAAGGACAGAAAGCAATTCATGTGATTTTGCCTAATAAACCCTCTTGAGAAGTTGAACTGGTGAAAAAAATTTTAGAGGGCCTGAGCTGAGCTATATGGACAAGGATTCAAAGAAATGATAACCTATATAACCATGAATGTCACCCCCCCCCCCCCCTCTCTACCCTCTAAAACTACTCTCCAAACTTTGATATCTGTTTGAAAAAACATCTCAGTTTACTTTGCTCTGAATTGCATTCAAATCTTCTTCATAAATCTTTTTCAACAATTTTCCGTTTTTACAGGAATCAACAACATTTTTGATGACTCACAACCAGGAAATTGGGACATCTACCCAGAAGCTATCACGTCATGGTCTTCCACGGATTGTAAGAATATGATACAAGATATCCTACATCGCACTCATCAAGGGCGTTGTTATTCCCCTAGTGTACTCACTGCTCCGAAAAAGCAGAAAACGCATGCTATTTACAGGATGGTCAAGATTTATCGAGTACCCAGCAATTATTGCCTAATTATTCATGGCGGAGCCGCTGAAAAAAACCAGGAAAAAAAAGAAGGACAAGACAACGTGTTTTCATGTGTGATGCTGTTTCTGCAATCTTGAATGAAGGGAGAAAACGGGTAAAATGAAGAAATCGAAACAAGTGTTTTTGCTGTGGAGAGGACAAGAGGAGCCAATATTCGAATTGTACATGGAATAGGAGGTAAAATCGTATGGGAAACACCTGTTCTGAAACTGAGATTGGAAATTTCAGGATCAGAAGACAGGTGGAAAGATGCGCTCTGTAAGAGTACATTTTGATTTCTGGAATCTATACTTAATACACGTATAAAGATGATTCAGATTGCAAAGAAAAACACCAAGTATGAATAAAAAGAAAAGTTGACTTTTTGATTGAGACGGAAACGTCTCACGGACCTCTAGACTAGTGAGGTCCGTCGCAGTAGTTTTTTGTACCAATAACTTGAATGAGGAAAAGGAAATTAAGCGTGGGAGATAGTTTGGCTTTGATTCCGTCTGTGACCGCCCCATGTGTCTCACGTCTGCAAATCTCATCTTTCAACATCGGAAGTAGTTGTTTATTTGATTTCTTCGCCAGAGAACATATAGCGAGAAATTCTTTCGAGCAGTTTTTGAGCCACACGGAAGTTTGCCAAAATTTTCGTCAGCAGACAGAACAAATCTCGGCAGCGATTCCAAGATAATTAGTGTGTTCCGATTGATCTTACTTCTAAATGTGAGCGCATGAGAAAAAATTGTATATGCACATGGAAAAAAGGAACCTTTTTGTCTTCCCAAAAAATAATTTTACAGACCATTGAAGTTTGAGGAAAAAATATATTGGCCCTATACCAATGCGTTCAGTGGGAAAATGAAAAACTAAAAAACACACGTTCTTTTTTCATTTTTTTTTTCATCTGAAGCTGTTCGTTTTTTTTTTTTGAGAATGAACAGCATGTTGGAAAAAAAAGAGATTGAAAAAACAATTTTTGGTAGAAAATCATAAAGTGAAAACTAAAATTATCACTTATATTGCTTTATGTTATCTACGAAATTTTTCACAAATAGTTATTGAGCTTTCGGTGGTCCGTTTGAAGTCCACAAACTATGAACAGAAAAAAGCACGTCTGGTCCTATCTCTCTCAGAAAAATGTGTTCTCTCATAATCGCCCACCGCCAAGTACTTGAGCAGATGTCAGTATTTTCAACACTAAAAGTAACGAGAACAGATTTTTTTCCAACAGAATTTCTATGAAAAAATCAAGAAGCTATGTAAAATGCCAAGAGTTCTTTTCGTGGTCCTGTCCTTAGTAGTAGGTTCATCACTATGCAAATTGGCGCCTGCTGTGTATACAATGTTTTTGGCGGCACACCGCCACATACTTCCGGGATTTTTGAATGCGCGAACAAGTAGATAAGAAAATATTGTGACAGCAGAAGAAAAGTAGTTCTGGGCTCTTTGGGTTGGTGCGTTCACTGACTAGGATTATCATTTTGGACCTAAGAAGGAGGAGAGGGTTGGAAAAAACGAAGAAAAAGGAGAAAGATAATTTTGAGTTACTGATGAAGTGTCAGAGATTTTTGACGACTGCGATGGGTGGCAAGCAAGTAGTTTTAAATTGGTCCTTGCTGTTTCGCACTGAAAACGCGATTTCCGGTACTGAAAATGATATGACTCGGTTGAAATTGGCGAGCTGAATCCAAAATTTTCAAAAGTGTCTAGACGTCCTATTTTAACCAATCCTGAAATTTCCTTAAAATTTTTGTTCATATGATGTTGAAGTTTCATTGTCAGGTAAGGTCATAACATTAAATCGAAATTCTTCAAGTAAAGTTAGCAAAACTTGTGAAAAACAATTTTGTAAAACGGAAAAAAATGAGCTGAAAAATTATAAGTGAGATCCTTCCCACATAATGCAATTTTTTCCAGACCCCACCGACTAACAATCTCCACCCTCCGTTGTATTGTTTTGTGGTCATTATTGCTGTTCTCAAGCAAGCATTTTCAAGATGTCATCGTGTCACATATCCATCATTTTTTACCGCATCTGTTTGTAACTAACATTATGTTCCAACTAACTCGAACCACAATGTTTTCTGTTACGAATCGAAAAGACTATTTGAATGATGACAAACCTCCGACTCAATTCCCATTGCACTGCACATTTTTCTTCACTCTGTCATGATTTTTTGTCTTATCACTCCCGTTACATGTACCGACAAAATGATAAAGACTCATTTTCTGCCAGAGAAATAAGGTTGCTAGTTTTAGTCTCTTTTCCCATATTATGATGAAGTGTGGGAAATTATTACTAGTTCTTGGAGCACTGCTAGCTGGCTCCGAGGGAGCTAGACATCCACACCTCCCTCCTTACCTTTTGGGTCGTCCAACATCCCAGGGATTCGTGGCTCATGGTGACCGATTTTCTGAAAATGCTGATACTCCAATTGCCAACCTGACCAGAAAAACTCTTCCACAGAAAGTTGATAACTTTGACAACACTAACAATGCCATGTACGATCAGGTTGATTTTCGATTGTTTCAAACTTTCTAACCGCTCTTTCTCAGCATTACTGGTACAACTCTAACTACACTCAAAAAAAAGGCATTGTGTTTTTGATGATCCAAGGAGAAGCACCAGCCACAGATCTGTGGATTCAGAATCCAAATTATCAATATTTGAAATGGGCTAAGGAGTTTGGAGCCGATGTTTTCCAATTGGAACATAGATGTTTCGGGCAGAGCAGACCATACAAGTAAGTGCAAATTTTACCAATCACAACAGTTTGAAAATAAGTTCGAAAATTTCCAAGCTAATTTTTGTATTTCCGTTTTATGCACAGTTTCCCAATTTCAGAGACCTGTCCTACCCTAACATCAAAGTTTGCACAATGAGCCAAGCCATCGCTGACATTCACAATTTCATCGGCCAGATGAACATTCAGTACAACTTCAGAAATCCAAAGTGGATCACATTCGGAGGATCTTATCCAGGAACTCTCTCCGCTCTGTTCCGCCAGCAACATCCAGAAGACACTGTTGGAGCTGTTGCCAGTAGTGCTCCTCTTGATTGGACTCTTGACTTTTTTGGTTTGCAATTAGTCTAAAAATATTTTTTGAGATGTTTCTTTCTAGAGTACGCCATGGTCGTCGAAGATGTGTTGAATCAAACAAGTACGGATTGCTGGCAAAATGTGAAAGATGCGTTTTACAAAATGCAACAATTGAGTCTTACAAAACAAGGGATTCAACAACTTAACGCTTATTTTGAGTTAGTTTTTCTCATAAATTATCTTATTCCTACTAATCATTCTAGCCTTTCCCCACCATTCGTTGATGGACAGTATACTCAACATGACATTGACAATTTCTTTGCCAACTTGTACGGCTTTTTCCAAGGAGTCGTTCAATACACTTATGACGGAAGAGTGAGTTTCTTTTTGCATTATCAGCTGTTTTCTATTGAGAAGTTCAGAATGCTGCCACATTGAACGGATTGAATGTTCAGCAGTTGTGCAACAAAATGAACGACAAGAACGTCCCAGATGTCATTAATCGTGTCAATAACACTGTGAATTGGGTATGTGAAACAACGAATCTTTTCTCTTACAATTTGGTTTATTTAGATCAACCAAATGAATGGGGATACAGTGGGGCCATTCCAAAACTCTTATAAAGATATGATGGCAGTTCTGGCTAATGTCAGTTATGACAATTCTGGAGAACTTGGTAGAGTTATACCCCTTTCCTGTGAATTTGATTACGTTTCCAGCTGCGAATCGTGGTTGGATGTGGCTGTGCTGCAACGAGCTTGGAGCTCTTCAAACTACTGACCAAGGAAGAAACATCTTCCAGCAAACTGTTCCAATGGGGTAGGTTAATAAAACTGTGAACGTGAATGCATCCATACTGCCACTTCGTGCTCAATCATCTCAATTTCTATGAGAGATATTAAAACAATAGAAGTGTTGGTGACAGTGTGACATACACTTTAGCAGTTGAGAAATTTTCGGTTTGGGTGCCGTTTCATTAGAGCCTTTACGGCTAATTGAATTTAGCATTTTAGTTTTCTCAAAATGTCGCATTAACTGCTTTCAAAGTTTAAATCTCTTTTTAAAATTCTAGATACTTCATCGACATGTGCACAGATATGTTTGGACCCGATGTCGGTATCAAGTTCATTCGCGACAATAACAAGCAAACTCTCTACAAGTATGGAGGTGCTGACAACTACCAAGCAACTAACGTCGTCCTTCCAAACGGAGCTTTCGATCCATGGCACGTACTTGGAACGTATAACAACAACACCGCTAATCATATGACCCCACTTCTCATTCAAGGTATATCATTTAAAACATCTAACAATTTTGTCATCCACAATTTTTTACAGGAGCTGCTCACTGTTCCGACATGTACCCAACCTATGCTGGAGAGCCTGCTGATCTTCAAAGAAATCGAGACATCATTCACAAAGAGTTGAAATATTTCCTTGGTCTATGATTTTTTTTCTTCTTTTTCTGTGACGATCAATAAACTGTTGGAATATTGTTCAAGGGACAAAGATAGAGAAATAGAGTGTTGGCGATACATAAGAGAATTTCCATATTCGTCGTCGCACAGTCCATAAAAGCCCGAGCGCGGGTTGTATTGTACCGAAAGTCACTTTTTTCTTCTTTTCTTACAAGCGATGCACCTCTATTTTATTCTGTTTCTTGTTTTCCTCGGTGTCCCTGCACTTTGTGCACCTCATTGGGAGCGTCAAGACTGGATCGGAGGAATTCACGTGTTTTCAAACGATCGTCTGATTTCTCCGAAATTCAGAGGTAGTACACCAGCTGCAGTAGCGTTGGATCAGGATACACAAGTTGAAGTAGAGGCCGTAGAAGTGGCTCATGAAAACATCTCTATTGAACTGGCTAGAATAGTCTTATTTTACTCATTCATCATTTTGGTTGCTTATTGTATCTGGTCCCGAGGTGAGATAGACAAATCCTTTGTTGATATCTGAAAAAAAAACAATATTTCAGTCATGGACCAAGTTCTGGATGTCATCGTCAAATACCAACCACGATATGGCGAGAAACGCATTGAATTCGTCTCGGATGAACTGATTTTATGAATTGATAGAAATATCGAATGGAAGCTGATATTACCTAAATTTCGTTTTTTGATTAAATAATGTGTTGAAACTTATTCAAATTTAATGAACAAATTAAATTCACTGTTTGATACATAGATCAGATTAATCGAAATCATCAGAAAATATGCTTTCATATTTTTGGTGTGTTCGGTTTGATAAAAATCAGTCGAGTGATATTTGGATTTTCAAGTTTCATTCACATGGAAAAAGAGCAGTCAACATATTCAGAAAAAAGTAGCTAACTAGATTTAATTGCTGATTATAAATATTGACTTGAAAGGAATGTTACCTGATTGATGAAACAGAAAAAGTATAAAAAGTGGGATTTAGGGAGAAACTATAACTTCTTACATGTAGAGTACACAACAAAATTTACTAGTATCAAGCCAAGTTGAGCATGTGTCTGAAAATTGAGAAGAGACTATCATTATTGCAGAGCTAATTGTGGTTTCAGAGAATAGTGTCGTCTTACACTTTCCAGCAAAACTATTGATTTGGACAAAAGTACAATTTGGGCAGTTTTCACTTTTTCTTCCATTTCGGTTATTCTGTAGCAATTGGTCCTGAATATGAAACTTTACTTTAGACGGATGCATCCTTCAAACGGAAAAGTGAAATTTTCAGTTGCTCAATTTCATGAACTGTTTGTGCAATTGCCCAACCTGAACCGGCTGACCTTGCGAAAAACCAGGCAAGCATTTTGAATAGATTCTCCCTTGGTCTTTGATTTTCCTTTCCCATTTTTTAGGATCATTAGTCTGTTGAGATATCGTTCTATTCATACATCAGACAAAAAGATAAAGTGATAGAGTGTTGGTTATACATGGTAAAATTTCCACATTCAACGCCGCAGAAAACCAATACAAAACGCCCCAGCAAACGTATCGTTGAATTACCAGTCACTATATTACTTCTCACATCATGCATTTACCCCTATTCCTCTTTCTCATTTTCTTCGGTGCTCCTGGACTTTGTGCACCGGATCGTCAATTCCAAGAATGGGTCGGAGAGGAAAATCTGTTCTCAAATAATCTGTCGACTTCTCCAATTCTGAACAGTCCAGAAAATGACTCCACGAAATATTGCGATTGACCTGAGCAGAATTATCATTCTTTATGTGTTCATCGTTCTCATCGTTTACGGCATCTGGATGCGTGGTGAGAATAATATTTCAAATATTAACAAAAAAAGTTAACATTTTTAGCTATGGGCCCAGTCTTCCAAGTAATGGTCAAATACCAGCCACCTTCTGGCGAGAAACGTGTTCGGCCAGTCATGGAGGAAGTCTGATGTGGGCATGGAGCAAGATATCCTGTTAACTTTGTGGTCATCTCTATTTTCCTATCTGCGAAATAAACCTTACCTTGTTGACGAATATTTAAATTAAAGGTTTCACAGTACATGTATCATTCAAATCTCAGCATTCGCGCCACTCTTGACACTCTCTTTCATCCTTACGCTCTCTAACTCAAGCCTTCTCCTATCCACCTCCCGCTCGCCTTTCTTGTATCATTGAAGGACTGTTCTTTTTTCTCTTTGGAACCACTAAGACGTATCAATTGCAACCCCTAATATATAGAAACATATCGGTTTTTATTGTCCTGTACGCTACTCATCCATAATCAAAGGTTTGAATCAATTTTTTTTGTATTCATTTTTCCATTTGGTTGGCTGCAAGATAGAGCGATTTGATTAAGCCTGGTACACAATTAACGGACCTGTACCATTCGAATGCACGCTCTTCCTTCCACACGCTCTCTCACTCGCGCCTTCTGCTATACATCTTCCTCCCTTCGATGCTTAGTCCAACTTCCCTCCCCCCCCCCCCCAGCTGCAGGTAATACTATCTTGAACTTCGCATATCGATTGATTCATATTGTTTCTAAAAATATCAAGAGGTATAAAGGATTTTAGGCCACTAGAGCATTTTTCGTTCGTTTTCTAACTTTCTCCTAATTTCTGAATTTCCAAAAGCTTGCAATTTTCTCAAAATACTTGTTCCGACAAGTATCATTCGAAAAAAATTCTGCAAGTCAATTCTCGAATTAAAAACTTCTTATTGTATTTATGTTCTGCTTTCAGTACTAGTGTCATTCAAATCTGAGTTTTCGCGGTATTTACAACTCTCTCTTGCTTCCACACGCTCTCTCGCTCAGATCATTTTGTATCCATTTCCCATTTGCTCTTCTCCATAAATCGAATGCATGCTTTTTTCGAACCACTTGATTGCTATTAACATGACATTGTGATATAATTCAATTTTCTGTTTTTCACAGTTTCCAAACCTTCATTATTAAAAATGGAGCAAGACTTGAATGATGTGAGAGAAGAAGAAGAAATAGTAGTAGAAGAGGAAGAAGAGGAGGAGAAACATGTTTGGATTTATTTCTGTCCAGACGTTCCACAGACAACCTTCTGCTATTGGAAAAACTTTCCCTGTTACGAGTTCCATCCTGATCTTCAAGACCATATTGAATATCGTTTATGAGCGGAGCAAAAACTTGTAAGGTCAACGAGATTGGCGACGTATGGATCATCGATTTTGATGCAATGACAAGATTACAAAGAAAAAGGAACTTTCGGCAAGAAATCGAGTGAGTTGAATTTTCAAAAAAAAAGTAAATGACTTCAATATCCGTGGTGTTGCTGACGTCAAATATCGTAAGTTGGGAAGTGGAATTCTCGTATAATAACTGTAATTCAGCGAATCCCAACAACTTCCAGCAAACTGACAGCATGTGCGGCATTTGCTTGTGCGAGCAAATGATACCGACACGGATTGATGATTGTGGCCACTCATTTTGTTTTTTGTGCCTTAAAAGTGAGTTATTTGAAAAGTTTTTCTGTAGGTTACCAATCTGCCGCTACCCCCGCCCCTGTCTGTCGGTTTTTTTTGTTTCTCACTGGCTCCGCTTCAGGGATTTGCGCGAAATTTTTATATTACAAAAAACAAGCTAGTGAAATTGTAAAATTCTGAAAAACCACTCTTTCATTCGTATGAATGAAAATAGAAATTGCCTTAAAAAGCAATTGAGAATTAGTGTACAAATGTCGAAAAACGTAAAATCGTAACATTTTTATTGGTTTTTAGAGTATACAGTAAATCCGTATAGCAGACCGGCCCTATGAATTTTTCGAGATTTCATATTTCACTGTCATTTTTGTGTTTATCCAAGACTAAATTGAATCTAGAGAGTAAAATCAAAGACAGTAGCGTCTCAAATAATCAACACCTTTTTAGGCGTTCCCGTCCGAAAGTGTCGATATGATGTTGACATCCGCCTGGAGTGCACGCCCGAAATGGCCGCCGAGGTTTTTTCGGATATCAAACGACAAGAGGATAATACTTTCGGTAATACTAATTTGTGGGATCTGAAAATAAGAAAATTTGTATTTAGGCAGCACGATCTTCAAAATCAAAAATCCGGGCAATAGAAAATTCTTCTGGATTTACGAAGTGAGTTTTGTGCTAAATCGCAAACTTCTGATGGTGATTCACCGGGGAATGTGCATTGCATCCCCCGCAATCACTTTCTTTTATTAAATTCTTTATCATTTAACGAGTATAAAAGCCCCTCTATTGTATCATTCTATATCGTTCAATAAAACATGGTGCATCGTGGGTTGAAAACCCCGGTCGCTCAAAGTCCCGCGTGGCAGGATTCTACATTGGTACTTCTATTCTCCTATTAGGTTGATAAGAAAGTTTCTTTCTTTTTTGGCAAAACTTTTGATCAAATTTTTCTCAATGCGGAGGGAGCTAGATCAATGAAAGTAACGTCCATTAGCATCAATAGTTGTCTGGCAACGCTCCGGTAATTTCTTGATTCCATCGGCCCAGAACGAGGAGGGCTGCGATTGAAATAGTGGGACTACTCCTTTTTTGTGCCATTTTTTCACTTAAAGTATTCTCTATCAAGATGACGTTTAAGAGCTTCAAAATATTACTTTTCCTGAAGGGCAAGGTCCGGAGAATACGATGAGTGCAAAATAACAATTCAGCCAAAGGTCATGAATTTATGGCTGATCCCTCTATTCACAAGCGATCTCGCATTGCCGCACTGGAAGCAAACTTTGGTTTTTTCTCCTCTTTTGATTAGACTGTCAAGTTCATATTTTCTAATTATGAACTACACAAGGTGGCAGTTATAGTGGTACCTTCAACTAAAACTTCCCAGTGTCCATTACTTTGACCGACCATCAAACTCATAGCATACCTATTTTTAAGGAAAATTTAGGTTCTTGGACGTCCAGAGATAGCTATTTCTTGGCAATCAACTGACCCTTCCGCAAATTGACAGAGTAACTTACGCACTTATCATCTACTGTAATGACATCATTCAGCCATTTGAACGTGCGAAGAAATGATAGGTGAAAAATACCCATGTCTACATGACGAAACATATTGTAGTCCAGAAAAACACGGTGTACGAATCAACCCAGATTTTGACTTTGCCAAGAGACTTCGATCATCTCACAATACTTGGTTGACTAGAGGACCATGCCTGCGACATTTTACAAATGGTTTGAAATGGATGCACCTCCCCGGTTTTTAGCAATTGATGAAGATCCGACTCACTAGGCCGTTGGCATCTTTCAAACTGAACTCTCTTGTTTGGAATTCCTCAAACAAAAGGCAAATTGTAGGCGATGACGAACATGTCCCTTATATACATCCACAATTTTCTTCCAAATACCAGCTGTTTGAAGACCAAATAAAAATAAAAATATAATCAAGTTGCCAATGTGCACTCGGATAAGGACTAAAAGAATCGTCATTTCTTCAACACGAAGAAAGATGAAAATTTGAAAATCTAGGATCTAATGGCCACTGAACACAGCTCTCTAACAAAAAAAGATTTGGCCCGCTAAACCACTTGGAGCGCCAGATATCGATCCTTAAAAACAACTCCAAAAAGAAAGAAACTTTCTTATCAACCTAATATTATTCGCTGTGGGAATATTCACTTCTGCATCGCAAGCGGCATTCAGTACCAGATGATTGGCAACTCTTGATATAGTCAACAAAGTCATTGGCATATGTGAGACTTGGGGAGCTGGTGGACACAGGATTAGCAGGTCTAAGTTATTCGAACAAAGTGGCCGGGACTTGGTGAGGACGATCACATTTGACGCATTTGAACGAGGACAAGAAAGCTATAAGACAGCGGTCGTAGCACGTCAGATATCAGTTGCACCCGAGCTTGCAGCTCACGTCCGAACAATATGGATTGTTCAAACCGTAAATCTTATTTTTATGATAAGCAACAACGAAGAAGAACTTAACTTCTTGCTCAAATCAAAAGTGGACCGACGAGGATGCTTTTCCCGCCCGGAGCCTCTCTCCAACGAGAGATTTTGATCTTTCATGCTAGACCACCGAGGTGTTAGATCACAAAGACGCGACGTTAACGACATTACGAGACGTATCCAGTAGAATCATGGACCCCGTAGATGTCACACCTTCGAACGCTCGCCAAGACGATACGAGTAAAGACACTAACGACGTGACGCAGAACAGTACTACAATAGGCGAGTGGACGCCGAAGACGTAATCACTCAGTTCTTCAGTGTCAATTGGACAACTAATTTTAAATTTCGTTGTGTCTTCTTTTCTCTAAAGCCGGGAGTGTGCTAAATCGCACTCTTCTGATGGTGATTCACCGGGGAATGTGCATTGCATTCCCCGCAATCACTTTCTTTTATTAAATTCTTTATCATGTAACCAGTATAAAAGCCCCTTTATTGTATCATTCTATATCGTTCAATAAACCAATGTAGATTTAAAACAAGTTTATCAACAAAAAATAAAAGCATCTAATTTTCAATTTTTACAGGCACGAGGATCCGGTTGGTATAGATATGATCCTCGAACAGAACTCGTGTTAGAGGACTGTTATAGAAAAAATAAGAAGAGTTGCGAGGTGGAAATTTGCGGAAAAAAATTCACAATCGATATTGGGAAAAAAACTCAAACTCGAGGTGAACTTCATTCGGAAAAGCGTTGTATCCAGTAAGCTTTTACTGCTTCGTTTCTATTCCACTGATTTCCTTTTTCAGAAGAATCGAAACGGAGGACATTTATCGCTATAATGTCAAAGGAATCGCTGGAAATCAGTGTCATTTCTTTCCAATCACTAATCGTATGCTTTACTGAGTTATTTTCCTCTGTTATACTCTCCCATCCTTCCAGTTCTTGATATCGATTTTGCAAAAATCCCTTCTTTTATTCTTTCCTTCAAATCTAAGGCCGTACTCATGAACATTTACTTTTGTGAATCATTTACTCACAAAAACCAACTGAAAAACGTGAAAATTGAAGGAAAACATTTACTTTTTGGTAAATACTCCTCCTTTTGGTAAATAAGGGTACTAATTTCGTTTGATGTTTACACCTAATTTTCGGAAACTTTTCATTCCAAAAAAGTTATGTATTGATAGAATAGTATTATAAAAATAATATTATCCAACTTTAAACATAAATTCCGTTTCTGTTCGACTTGAAAATTATGATTTTTGATACAAATGACATGAATGGATAGAGCAACAAATTTAGAGTAATGTGCCATAAAATGGGCATCTTTCAATTCAATTGAGAAAACAGGCAATTGAGAAAACAGGCAATTGAGAAAACAGGTAAATCATTTAAAACAGTAAAAAGATTTTCAGTACATTTTCACGCTTCTATTTACCTTCTGGTAAATTTTTTGAGTGTAAATGATTTACAAAGTAAATGTTCATGAATACGGCCTCTCTTCAAGCAGGTTCAAACTCTATAACTCTCGCTTTTAAATACCACTTTCCCAAAGTATACCAACCACTTATTTCGATTCAAAGTCCTCTGTAATGCTTCGCTCTCACACAGTTGACAACTTATTCGAATGATTTTTTGTTCAAATTCCTCTCCTCAATAATTTTCACTTCCTCTATCTCTGTTTTGTAAATCACCATATCGAAGAAATCAGATTTTTTGTATTTTTGTGAAATGCCCTACACAAACAGACTTTCCTTTGGAACTAGGTTTTTATCGGCTTTCGCTTTTCGGATAACTGTTCTCTTGTTATGTTCAGCTTGATATGGTCACTGAACTGATGTTGTAGTAGCTTGATGTTAACCGATTCGATTTTGCCTCAATCCTATTGCCTCATTTCCTGTATTTGAAACTTATTTTTAATGTCCTTGTTTTCTTGTTCGTTGTTTCTATGGGCAGATTTTGATCCCCGTTTTTATATGCCAATTCCCTGTTGAATAATCAGAGTATATCCTCTGCCACTTGTTTCTCTGTTGAATTTCGTTTGTACGCAGCACTAATATCAGACTCTAAAAAGTAAACGTCTGTGATTTGAGTTCCATACACGTCACAGATCCGGCTCTGCTGCAACGAGCTTAGAGCTCTTCAAACAACGGATCAAGAGAGGAACATCTTCCAGCAAACTGTTCCAATGAGGTAAGTTAAGGAAAATGTGAACGTAAATGCATGCACACTGCCACTTCGTGCTCAATTATCTCAATTTTATGAGACATATTAAAACAATGGAAGTGTTGGTGACAGTATGACATACACTTTAGCAGTTGAGAAATCATCGGTATCTATCACAGAAATCTCTTGCTTTCCTCGGTGTCCCTGAACTTTGTGCACCGCATTGGCAGCGTCAAAACTGGATCGGAGGAATTCATGTGTTCTCAAATGATCCTCTAATTTCTCCGAAATTCAGAGGTAGTACACCTGCTGTAGTAGAATTGGTTCAGGATCCACAAGTTGAGGTGGAGGCCGTAGAAGTGGCTCATGAAAACATCTCTATTGACCTGGCTAGAATTGTATTCTTTTACTCATTCATCATCTTGGTTGCTTACTTTATTTGGTCCAGAGGTGAGAAATACAAGTATTTTGTTGATATTTAAAAAAATATTTCAGTCATGGACCAAGTTCTGGATGTTATGGTCAAATACCAACCACGATCACGCAAGAAGCGCATCGAATTCCTCCCGGACGAACTGATTTGATGGATTGATGGAATTATTTAATCGAAGCTACTATTTTATCGAATAAAGGATGTGTTTAAATTATTGTAATTTTGTGGATAACAAATTCAAGAGAGACTTGAAAGAATTAAAGAAGTACTTTGCTAATTATCAAGACTCTCATTGAAATCTTCAGAAATACCGTAAAACCTGTATTAGAAGGGCCGGCCCTTCTTTTTTTTCGTGGGGTTCTTAGGGGGGTACTTCAATTAGAGGGGCCCTTCAATTAGAAGGGCACTTTTATTTTTTGTGGGATCTTTGAGAACAGATCTTCTATGGAGGAGCATAACTTTTTAGTGAAATCTTTATACTAAAATTCCATTACAATTTCTACATAACAAAAAAAAAAGCAAAAACACCAATATTTTCGAATGTTAAAAAACTGGCACCTGAAAATTTCGCGGGCGCCGTTCGTGTCGATTTACGAGGTCTCGTCCTTGAATCCGCCTTTTTGTTAAACGAAATTATTTTCTTTGAATTCAGTGGGATTTTCTGATTAAAATTCTGCTTTCTTGGTAACATGTTTTAAATCAAATATTCCAAGCTTGATTGTAAAAATTGCTCGAACGTAAAATTCATATGTATTAAAGCAAAGGCATTTAAATTCTCAGGTGCCAGTATTTTTTGAAATCGGACAGTGATTCAATCAAAACAACAGAACAAACGGCTGAAAATCAAAGGAGGTAGCCAAAGGGGTACTTCAATTGGAGGGGTACTTCAAATAGAGAGCCCCTTCAAATAGAGGGAGCACTTCTACAGTACTCCACAAAAGTTTAATTCCACCCTCATTTTGTACTGAAACACCTATTTAGGTCAATATTCGTGAAAAGGTGTCAACATGAAAAATAAAGGTCTCCCTTCAAAACCTACGTACGAAAAACTTGGAGCCATCAACGTGATCCGGACACGAGAAACCGGAAAAATTCCGAAAACCCCGTTTTGGCCAATCCACAAAAGTTTAATTCCACTCTCAAAAAGTGAGATTTTGAAGGTTTTGAAGCTCTGCGACTACCTTGTGAAGGCCTGATTTTGAAGAATTTAAAGATTCTGACCCCCATACACAGAGACCATTATACACGGTTACTGATATCCGGATTTCCGGATTCCGGAATCAGGATTTCCGGGTTCAGAGTTCCGGATTCCGGTTATTTGGGTTCTGGATTATGTTTACGAATTGTGTGTAGTGGATTTAGAATATGTACTCCGGATTCTGTGTTCCGGATTCCGGATGATGGATTCCGGTTTCCGGATTAGCTTTTTGAATGAGTTAAAATGTCCCGAGAATCTGAATTTCAGGTTTTCTTGACAAACAAGCGTTTCAGAAAGTTTCTGGAAAGTTACGAAAGCTTCTGAGGTTCTGAGGGATTCTGAAGGGACCTGGAATTCTGAGAGATTCTCCAGAATCATGAGAAACTGCCCAGTAGATTGCGTTCTAACTACCACGACCTCACAAAACATCGACGTGCATGAAGACGATTTTCTATTTCATTTTTCTACTCCAAAAAGGCGAAATTCCGAGACGATGAGTTGATAGTCGGATCCGTTCATCTTCTTCGAAACAAAAAAACTGTTTGATTGGAC